ATGCAGATACTGTAGTTACATTTTGAACATATCAACTTGGAATAAACAACTGTCAAGCAAATCTTGTCTTTCATGCTGAAACACTTCATGTGGAAATATTACATCCACATGTGTTGAATTCTGTTGAAAGTTTTGTTCTTTCATTGAATGGATCTGTCTTGTGATGGCTGTGTGTTTTGTAGAAGATTTGTTTGAAAGTCATATCAGAGTCTACCAATTTGTTTGAGGCTTGTTTGAAAGAATCACATGAGGTGTCACCAGTTTTTGTAGGACAACATTTTTTGTAGGATAACAAGTTTGCAGAGGAGTTAAATTATAGAAAAAGTGAAAATGACAAAACTCTTACAAATTTAACAAATTTATTTATATTTTAAAGTATCCATAAATTGTTATATAATTACAAACCTTAAAAGACATTGTAATTTCTTTGAATTTTTGTTATGTGAGATTTTGCTTATGCTGAAAGCATACATATTTATGAATCAGTTGTAGTTGGTGCACTAACAGTAGCAGCAATAAGTAAATTCAGCTGAAGATAATAAAAATTGTGTGGCTATTTTAAAGAATTCTGACAATAAAAATGAAAGGAAATAATATATTTATAAGAATTGTATAAAAGCAACAATGAACAATGCCAAAAATGAGTAATCGGTAAAATTGTGACATGTACAAAATTTTTATCAAAGCCTGAATAACTAAGATTAGTTATTGAAATTTATAGAAAATAAGAGGCTCCAAATTGGGTAAAAAAAAGAATTACTTTTCTAACTTATTATTGGTTAAAAATATTTTTTGTTAATTTTCTTACTCAACAATTCAAGAGAGGAAAATAACTAAGATTTTGTAGATATTTGATGCTTCAATTTTCCTAAACATCATCTGCAAGTAACAGAAAAATGCAGCTACCCTTTTTCAGTGTCAAAAAATAGAAAAGTACCAATTCAAATTTCTATGTCTCTGGAGCTTCTTTTTGCAAAAAAATGAAAACTTCATTTCTGTAGGAAAAATACAGGTTTGTTACACTCTGTTTCCTCTTGGGTGGATATTTATATATTTTCTTGTCATCAGTTGTTTAACATGTGCACATCCTAAGTGCAGCTGAGTCAACCATCCATTTACATGCCAGAGTCAGCCACTGAAATTCTGTGAGGTCTGAAACTGCATCTTCCTGGTCAACCCACTGATGCACCAGGCTTCTCTATGACAATGATTGCAAAGTCTATTTTGGTATCACCTGAAGTAAGTTCAGTAAATATTGAAATCATTTCAGATCAACTTCTTTTAGAATAAAAGTTCCTTATTGACATTAAATTGGTTCCAACAATCTGGTATTTCCTGGTGTGAATCATACTACACTATTATCATTTATCTTTTGTCATTTTCTTCAATCTAAGTTTGGCTTGAAACATGGTATTTGCTCTTTATTAACTGAAACAGACTTTGAGATTGTCAAACAAAAAATAAATTCTTTCACCAAATTCATACAATTGGCTGAAACAAAAAATAAAAGTGCAGTAAAAATAATTAGTTCTACCAGTAACAAACAGATGTTTTTTTTATTTTAATTTTTATAAAAGTCATTATTTGATTAATTTCCTGTCTCTGAAATATTTTTAACAGCATTACATTTTAAAGATGTAGTTGAAATATAGGCAGGCTTATAACATAAGCCTTAAATAATTTCCAAGATTCATGCGGAGAAATTTTTCAGTTTTTATTAGAGGTTGAGGTCCTGTGTTTACTTGACTCATTATGCTACGTAGCTAATACATACACGCACAATACTGATTACTAATATCTGGTGGAAAATACCCAGTGAAACCAGCTGTGACATATAGTAAGCAAGCCTAAATATAAATTTTTAAAACATTAAAAATATTTGACCTAGAGTTGAGCACTCTAAGATATCATCAGGATGTTCAACACTTGGGAGTAAATTGTTTTTTATTTATTTATCTATATTGTTATATTAACCATTTGGTAGAGAGAGAAAGGAATAACGAAGATTAGAGTGAAACAATGTTTATTGTTGGTAGATAGTACAGGAATAAAGATCGGTGCACGCATAATGTCAGGAGCTGAACCATCTCTCATGCTGGTGTGGCCGAGGTCACAAGATACAGTTAATGCATATTTTGTTGATAGAGGTCATGGTTGTAGGTCATCTTATTGTTGCTAGATCTGTTGTGTCGAACCAGGGTGATGTTAGATTAGGCGTAGTCGAGGTACAAGTTGTTCTGTGGAGTGGATGTCACTGGGTTCAACTGTGAAGGTAGTGCCTTGCAAATGAGTCTAGGTAGGCCGAAATAGGTCAAGATAGGCTGAGGTGACAGTGGGTTTTGGGAAACCAGTGCTGTGGAATGGAGGTTGCTGTGTCGACTGTGAAGGGAGAGTCTTGTAAGCAGGTTGAGCTATTCTGTGATGCGGAGGTCACTGCATCAACCGTGAAGGGAGTGCCTTGCATCAGGTCTAGATAGAGCCGTTCTGTGGAGCTGAGGTCACTGTGTTGACTGCAAAGGGAGTGCCTTGTATGCAGGTCAAAGTAGAGGCGTTCTGTGGAGCTGAGGTCACTGTGTTGACTGCAAAGGGAGTGCCTTGTATGCAGGTCAAAGTAGAGGCGTTCTGTGGAGCTGAGGTCACTGTGTTGACTGCAAAGGGAGTGCCTTGTATGCAGGTCAAAGTACAGCCATTCTGTGGAGTGGAGGTCGCTGCATCGACTGCGAACGGAGTCCTTGTAAGCAGGTTGAGGAAGAGCCATTCTGTGGAGTGGAGTTCGCTGTGTCAACTGCGAAGTGAGTACTTTGTAGGCAGGTTGAGGAAGAGCCATTCTGTGGAGTGGAGTTCGCTGCATCGACTGCGAAGGGAGTGCTTTGTAGGCAGGTTGAGGAAGAGCCGTTCTGTGGAGTGGAGGTTGCTGCACCGACTGCAAAGGGAGTGAGTCATTTTGTGGAGTGGAGGTTACTGCGTCAACTACGAAGGAAGTCTTTGTAGGCAGGTTGAGGAAGAGCCGTTCTGTGGAGTGGAAGTCGCTGCATCGACTCCGAAGGAGGTGCTTTGTAGGCAGGTCAAGTTAGAGCTATTCTGTAGAGTGAAGGTCAGTGTCAACTGTGAAGGGAGTACCTTGGAGGCAAGTTGAGCTAGAGCTGTTCTGTGGAGTAGAGGTTGTTGCATCGACTGCGAAGGGAATGGCTTGTAAGTGAGTGTGTTACAGCCATTCTGTGGAACAGAGATCACTGCATCAGCTACGAAGGGAGTGCCTTGTAAACAAGTATGTGGTATGTTGAAGTAGGTTAAGGTGACGGCGGGTGTTGGTATTAATGAAGGCTTGTAGCTAGCAGGAACCAAGGTAGAGATGCTGATTTGAAAACTAGCTGAGGTGGTAAGTCAAGCAAGGAAGTTGTAACGGTCGTTGAAATGTGTAGTCATGTTGAGTGGTGGCAGTGAAGGCGGTGACAGTGGCAGTAGTAGTACTTTGCCTGATGGTCAGTCTGCAACTCTGTTGTCATGTTGGTGGTAGCAGCAGCAGTGCTCTGTGTGACAGCCGGTGGCTACAACTATCCTAGGTCATCCTCAGAGCTTGCTTTTAAGCAGGTCTGGTAGCCCCAAGGGGTATCTCTTTTACCAGCAGGAACGTTTGCGATTGGCTACCACCGGATGTTGTGCATGGAGCTCAATGCGCAGAAAATGACTTTTGTTATTTTGACTTCTGCCTTCATGGTAGTCACGTTTGGCCAGCGTGCAGAATGAATCAAAATGAGATCTAATTGGACAGAGTATAACAATATTTTCCAAAAAATTTATTTTGAAGTTGGAAGTAATTGTTTGAGTCAATAAAAAAATAGTACATTTTCCAGGTTTTAATCAAAAATTTTTCTGATTTGTTTTCAACAGAGTCAAGAACAAATTACAAATTATAAAAATTTAGATTTTGATATTTATCAGGTCAGGTACCATCAAAATACATTTTTCCAAAATAAAAGCAAAACATTGCTACCTGTTTTAAAATATTTGCCAAAAATCAGGGAATTATCTGATTCAAATAAAATTTTCATTATTTACTCATTAAGGACTGAATTGAGTACTGAATAGGCTATTTTATTAGGAAACATTGTGGAAATATTTTTTTAGGAAGTGGGGTGTCTGTTCCTTTCCCCTTTTTGATATCTCATGCATACTTTTTAATTTGGGGGTTTGAAATTTACTCTGAAGTTTAAGGAGTGTTAGGTCATGAAAATACTTTATTTAAAAAAATGTATGCACCAAAAAATAAGCCTATAATAACAATAATAATAATATTAATTTATAAAAAGAAGAAAACTGTCCCTGTTTGTGACTTCGAAATTATGGTAATAAAATATAAGAAATAACGCAAACAAAAATACAAAAACACAAAAAAAGAAACGAGTATTCATTAAAATTCAGAATTGTATATTTAACAGCACCAATAAAAACATGCGAACAAATCTTGACTTAAAAAAGTTTTTATTTGATTTTAAAAAAAGAAAATGAAAGACGTCTGCTATGGACAAATTAAGTTTGTTCGAAGAGTTTGTTCAAAAAAAAAAAAAAAAAAGAAGAAAGAAAGGAAATGAAAGAAACTATGCTTAATTATTACGGTAAAAAAGATGGCTAGTGTTTGAGGAAGACGACTCCGAAGAAAAATCTTGACAGACAACATTCATAAATTCGCGCATTTTGATATTATTTGCGATTAGTATTCACTAGCAAACATTCTTGGAAAATATTTTTTTATAAAACTTGAAATAGAAATAAATAAATTATATATCCAGTAAATTATTTATTCAAGCAATTTTACACTTTATAAAAAATAATCAGTCAACTTACTGTCTTCTTATCAAGTAAAATAAGAGAGAAAAAAAAAGAAATTTAAAATATTAAAAAAAGTTTCGTTTTCCATTGTTCGGTCCAGCTGTACTAAGTTGATTTTTATGAACCCTTCCATGAATGATATGAGGTTGACAAGGAGAGATGTTATGGCTATGGGCCGTTCACTCGGAAGTATTTTAATTGATGTAGTAAGTTGTGCGTGTATATATATATATATTCATTTTATTGTAAATAATGGCTATATCTTCAGATTTTTCTTTTTGGTATATTTTAAATATATATGTCAGCATATATTGTATTTTCCAAGGCCGACCTCTTTTACTAGCAAACGAATTTTTTTTTAGTTGTTTAAAAATACGGAATCATAAAAGTTGTTGCTTGGTGAATCGGGCGAATTGTTGAAATGTCTGTTTAATTAAACATTAAATTTTCTTGTTTTTAAAATTATTTTATTCTAAATTTATAAAATAATTAAAAACTAAAAAAAAAAAAAAAATCCTACCACAGAGTTTCAACTCCTCATAGTTTATTAAAAAGTTGTTTCGTACTTTAAAATTTTATTTTATTTTCTTAAAAGTGGAGGAAGAAAAATAAACCAGTTGAAAAACTATTTTCATTATTTAAAAAAAAAAAAACAAAACAAAATTGGATTATGCATTTTATGCTTTCGTGTCCAATATTTTGATATAGAAAAATAATTACGTAGCAAAAAATAATTTTTATTTTATCGAAACTTTAAAAGTTAAAAAAATATTTAAATAATTAAATTAAAATAAATTATTTTATTTTTAAATGTTTCAATTGGAATTCAATGTTTTTGAAATGTTAAATCATTATTTTAGTTTTTCTTTGTTTTCTTTTCAAGTAATATTTTTATTTTCATTTTTTTATTATGAATTATGTCATTATTCACCTTTTTAAACTTAAGTGAAAAAAATAATGAATATAAGTCGTCATGGAAACCCGTAAAAAAATATCAACCTCCCTTCGTTTAGAACTTAAAACTTGTTTTAAGCCTTATTGTGGGTTCATGTTTCCTGAATGAGATTATTGGTGTATGTGATCGTAAGCTTAATTTTTTTTTAGCACATGATCCCATTTCTGAGGCACCCGGTGTGGAGCAAACTCGAATTGGTCTGCTCAACAAGCTGTTAGGCAACTATAAGCAACTTGAGAGTGTAGACATGAGCTGATTTTGGTGCTTGTCTTAGTGCCCCAGCCTTTGGTCTGGGATCGGGGTGTAGTATCAGTTTTTCTTTCTCTTTAAAATTATGAAGGAATAAGCCTGGTCCTGGAGATTCCAACCTTGCAACATCACCTTCCTCATTGCTCTACTGAAGAGAGAATATTGATGGTTTACTGATGTCAGTGTGATATCAGTCGTTGAAACTACATTTTTTTTTGTCCTTTAGCGGAGCCCATATTTTTGCATAATTAATAAACCTACCTTGTGTCAAGGTGGGTAAATACCAGATGTTGGTTTTTTGATCACCATAAGATGCTTCCCTGATCTGGTCTTTTGCCAGACTAATTTTAGGCTTTGTAATTTACTTCCAAGAGGATCCCATAATATGGACATTTATTCACAAAATAGGTATGAACTTTAAAAAAAAAAGAAAATTGTTCACTCACAGAGATTTACTGATTTTGTGGTATATTCTGAAAATGCCAAAATAATGTGTTCACTTATTCTTAATTTTAAAATGTTTAGGTGAAAAAATAAAATCTACAGTTATAACCTTATGCATTTAAACTTAATTATTTTTCTACTTGTATAATATTATTGAAGACAAATTATTCAAAATGTTATTTTGTGTTATGGTAAATCAATGACGGATAATTTCTCTAAAAAACACACACATGTGTATATATATCAGTGTGTTCATCTTGTCTGATTTTTGCACGTCCACACGGTGAGAGTGCTCTCTCTTGACTGATAAAAAAAAAACTGGTGTTATATAGCTCTCCCAGTTTCAGACCCACACTGACTTTTGGCTAATACCTGCTCAGTATTGTTTGTTTACAAATAGTCAGCACCACCTACTCTAAGTAGAAGGTCTTCTCTCAACAGCCCACTGTGAAAGAGGATGTAACTCCTGGTGCTTACAGCACCACCTCTCACCAACTTTGAGTTTCTTATCAGGTTGACCCAATTCTTTGTTACAATCAGCAGTGCAATAGATCTGTATTTGATTAAAAAATGACTATTTTAATATCCTTATAATGGGAATAATTTTAACTTTGTTCTCAGGAGCAAAAACCTTTTCATTTCTCATTGGTTTCTTGTAATAATGAAATAAATGTCAAGTTCTCTGAATTCAGTATATCTTGAGGATTTTGTTTTGTTAGTTTTTGAAGACAGGTTTTGCCCGCTTTTTAAGTTTTATAACAATGAAAAGGAAATAAGATTTTCATACAAGTTACATGATAAAAAGATTTCTTTTAACAATCTCTTCTTTTTTGCTTTCCTTTGCATTTTTATAGTAAAACAATGGCTCAAAATAATGTTATATATATATATATATATATATATATATATATATATATATACATTTAACACCATCACTTGATAAGACACCAGAAGTGTTGAAACAAAATGGTTATTTTTGTAGTGATTTTATAACATTTTTATGTTATAATTTTCAAATAAATGATTGTATTTGCTCTACTCTGTATTGAGCACTCTTTTAAGAATAGTATTTGTTGGTTATTGAAATTTATTCTGTATATACCAATCCTATACTTGGATTTATATATATATATATATATATATATATAATATCCCTATTCTCTAAGTAATACTTGCACGAATTTCTGATCATTAGCAACCCCTTTTTTCTTGATTTTCTATAGTAATATCATTATCAAGACATTTACATTATGCAATAGACCTATTCCATCAATAATGCTTCCTGACCACCAACAATCCCTTTGTTTATTTATTTTCAATGTACAAGATGATGATTGAGAACAGATGTTTCTGCTCTCAGGCTGTTATTCATTGAAAATTGCAAAATGAGGGATTGTCACTAACCAGGAATTTATTCAAACTTTACTGCTAGACTAGGACTGTCATATATATATATATATATATATATATATATATATATATATATAGTGTATATTTTGATACTGGCTAGTCATCAGTAATTCACTATGGTACTTAGACAATATGAATTTAAGTGCAGTACTAGACTGGCAGCAAGATTGCATCAATTTACAGTTGAGTTTTTTAGATGTAGCCATAACCTCTATGTTAACAGTTTCTTTTCTCACATTTTTCACTTGTGAAACTCCCTTCTGGCTCTATGCTTTCCAGCCAGCTTTAATCTACAAAAATTTATATGCAATGTCAATTGCTATCTACTGTCCTCCTGATTGCTCTTTTCTCTTTCTACTCATTACTAATGTTTCTGTTCCTAATTCCTCTACACCCTGTAACCCTTTGTATTTTAGTATCTGTACTGCCTTGCTTGTGGTGATACTGAAAAATAAATAATTATAAATGAACATAAACTGCTGTAAAAATGTGAAAATCTTTGTAATAATTTTCTCATTTCAAATTTAGAAAGAAAACTGTAAGACCATTAATGATTTTTGAAATTCTAAGATAAAGCATCACCATTATTCCATAAATTGTTTGCGCTGGTATCTTAATTTTATCTTTGTTAAAGATACATTTGATCAGTGTATTCTTTGGCTTTCCTCAAGTGTATGTTAATCATTGAATATTACCTAGTATATTTATTTTCTTTTTCATGTTATCATTTGATATTCTGATCTCTGGATTATTTGAATTGAGAATATATCAAGGTGCTAAAAATAATTCTATATATCGCTCAAGAATTACCACATGCAACATGCACACCTGAGGAAGATCAGAACACAAAAAGGTTAAAAACAATATGCTTCAGGATACAAATCTAAATAGTTTTCAGAAGAAGTAGATATTATGATTAGGTCTTTTGGCTTCCTCCTGTCCTCTTGTTCACTGCCACTGACTTTATATGTGTTTGTTGGCAGCATATCTGGGTTATTCCATCAGTCATTTTCTGTTATAAATGATGGAATGAGTCTGCCCCGGTCTGTTGACTCATGGAGCCAATGGCATTGCAGGCACATGCCCACAGCCTTTTTTGAAGGTAAGTGGATTTCTTCTGCACAAATTAAGCAACTTTTCCTATTTGGAATCAAGCCACAACTTTGACACATACCCAGAAGATTTGGGATTCAGAAATTAGTCAACATCTCGATAATCCAGTCTTTGCCATCACTTTTTCATATGACTGTTCATTATTCTGTTGCACAGTGGTCTTTCTGCTTGAAGATTCTGTGGGATGACAGATGAAAACTACATTTTAGAACATTTTATCTTATTTTTATAGTCAGTTTTGTTGTGTTTGGAATTAAATTCCTGTTCAGAAATTGATGTGGCAGATTTTCTTCCACAACAAAGTAAACAAATCACAAGTAATCAAACTTGAAGATCCAGGGACAGAAAGAAATGTCAAAATCTCGATTCGCAGGTTGCTTGGTTTGATGAGGTAATTCGCCATTTTCTTTGCTACACTCCCTCATGATCTCAAATCAGACAGTTTGGAGTGGCTCTCTTTATCCTGGTGTTTCGTCATAATGAGACAATCTCCCTTATGTATGTTAGAGTATGATCCCCTGAGGAGTCATCAGGTGTATCCAAAGTTTCCAGAACCTCCTCATCTTTAGAAGTATCAGATTCACAGATCTCAATTATCCAATCACTTTAAGATGATGAATTGTCGTTGGAGTTGTACGTCGATGTACCAGAGTCGATGAAAAGATGAAGATCTTTTACATGCTGAGGCATCCAGTCAACTTATTAAATTATTTTTTGTGGACTTACAATGTCTGTCACATGACCCACTTGATACCTGGAGGTACGCCAGCCATGTGGAGCTTTTACTCATACTCTGTTTGCAACTTTGTACATGAAATGATTCTTACAACAATCAGGTGATAATATTGTATTAATTCTCTTCTAAATTGATAACAGTGAATCATATCGTGTCATTCTTCGGCATGATATTATGCCAGTACACTACCTCCATTATTGGACACTGCTTTCTTGCTGCAATTCTTTTTATGCTCTGATAAGATATTTCCCTTATGCCATTTCCTGCAGGAACATATGCACAATGGAAATGAAGTTGGA